TCGCTATGATGGACCATTCTTACCATTCCACGAGAGAACTGTAGGATGGTATTACGAATACCCTCCGTCACCACACCGTTTGCAGTGACGTAGCTCTGTACTTCACCGCTGGCGAGCGAGCTTAGACCAGCATAGAAAGCCGCAGGGATGACAAGGCACATCACACTACAGGCAGGTATTAGCATATTGATGTGATAAATAGATTTAGTGCTTACCCCATCGTCAACATGCTCTGATTAAGTTGGTTCTGTGTCTGATGTAGCTCTTGATGCATCAACCGCGAACCACCAGCCATAAACATGACACCGGGTACCAAAGTCAATTGGAGAAGAGTGACTCCAACGATGGTTCCTTGGAGCAATCTCAGTTCGTTTGGCTTCTTGAGAAGGAGGATCGCGAGAATCGCCTCAATGGCGCTGGAAATTTGCGTTAGATACATATGAAAGCGAGATAAACAGGTCACATACTTCATCAAGGTGACATTAACCAAGTCTCCTACTGTACGTCCGAGATAAAGCATGCTTTGGTGACTGCAGAATTGTAGCAGTTTCTCCAGAGGAATCAAGGCCAAGAAGGAGACTAATAGTCTACGTTAACACTACGACCTTTCTCATCGGGCTTTCTGGCTACATACGGATGAATGTCGTACGGGGGCTCCACTTGACAAAGTGGGATACCCACGCCATAATCACGAACACCAAGGAGAAATTTATATCTGAAAATTAGATAAAGATTATCAGCTTCATCTCTTCTATACCCTGTAACATAAAGAATAGTGCAGCATCTCCGTCCGCAATACGGGGGATTTAGGCGTGACAGTCGAAAGGTCGCCAAGCAAGGCACCCGCGCCCATGCCCAAAATAAATCTTCCAAGAAAACGGGGAGGATCCGACTTACAAGAAGCAGTGACCGTATACTTTAGTCCTTCTAGGAAGGTCGGGATACGATCTACATGTTTCCCCTGAATACGATGCGTAAATTCCTTGAATCGGCGGGTCTTGGTTAGTGGTGGTTCGGTCTCGTCCTTGCCAGTGTTCAACAGCTCGTCGTTGGTACCGCCTGCTCCTCGCTCTAAATTTGACGGTGAAGGTGCGACTGGTTTTTCTTGACTTTCGTCTGTGCCATTTCCAGCGTTATGCCTCAATCTGGCCTTCTCGTCCGTAACAGCCGAGGACATTATGTTCGTGTCAACCGCTGCAAGCCGTCGTTATAGAATTCGAAGAAAGGATTGCGATTTGTTCGATTGGGGGGATAGGAGAAAGGTCAAAGGAGAGGTCAAGGTTCAAGATGAAAGAATTGACCGTTTGAAGTGCGGCGACCCCAACGCGAAAACTGCCTGCTGGCCCATGTTTGAAAAGTCTTGGCATCGTCATGACACAAGACTATCGAGCATGTGTTGAATATGTTGGAAATCACTCATGTCTCCACCAGCACCGATGATGGTCGAGTGG